TAATCGGCGTAGGAGAGGCGCGTTCGCGCGTCCTCGATAAGACGAGACAAGAACCTTTCCGATAATCTGCCAATGAGGCCTGCGGGGCAAGACAAGAAACCCGACGCCACCTACGTGCAGTTTTAGTGCGTGCCGAACTCGAAGAGCTCGGCTGCTGCGATCTAATCCTATTTTCGTTAGATCCGTTAATGGTTAATGGGAGGCAAAGTGGTCAGCGACCGGAACAAGGGCTAAGTCCGTCTTAAATCCCCGTAGGAGAGGCGAGGGAGACAGGAGAAACCCTTGTAGCCCTTAGCCAAGAACCGTAATCCGCATGGAATAACTATTGGCTGCGCTGTTGCTCCGAGAGACAAAGTCAAACTGTGCCGAGTGCGCGGGAAAGTTTTAATTATTATCGACAGCCCATCCGACAGTATCCTCTCCCGTTGGATTCTGGGCGGGGGGAGGGGGAGGAAATACGCTTATTTCGCGGAAATTTGCGGAAACATCGGAGTAACAGAGTTGATACGGAATTTAATTGAGGAGCAATACAGTTTTTTGTTGGGGTTTTTTTTATACGTATCCGTACGATAATTTTTCAATTATGTGAGAACTCTTTCTGGAAGAAAGTTGCGCGCGCACATCTCTGTGAGGAATCGCAAATGCGACGAGATAGAAATGCTTCAGTATTGGTAGACAATTGAAATTCAGCGAAAGATAGAGAGAGAGAGAGAGCCACGTCAAGGGAGGGATTCGTGCCTCGAGGACAGGATTAACTTGCCGGGTATATACTTAATCATTATTCGGCTGTAAAATGCAGGGGTAGAAACAACAATATTCTCGTTTCCAGCGGGTCAGTGGCCCGCAGCGAATCCTCTCGTAGACAAATAAAGCGCAACATCGTGATTAATGAGAATTAGCGAAATCTGTTTCATACGTGTGCGCATATAGCGCACAGGTGCAACTGCTATAACAAATACAATCGATAGGTTTCTCTTGAAACGGATATTTTTTTAAGAAACACGAAAAAAAAAGAGAGAGACGTGTATCTCTCTCGTCGCGGGGAAATATTTCCGTGATGGTAGTCGGGAAAGTGTATCGCACGATTGGAGCAAGAAAATATCAGACTCTCGCACGCGTGTGTCCCGGGGCTGTAAATTATACCGGAATAATCCGGCAGTTAAATCCGTCCCGCGCGCGCTTTATTACCGCGCGAGCGTTCTCTCGCGATCCGTTAAAATTAAACTCGCAAATAGCTGTCAATTTTATAACCGTTTCATTTCCTATCCTCCATCACGTTTGGAGAATGACGCGTCACACACTGATCGACGATCTCGCGATGACGAGTCCGAGATGAAAGAGTGCTGCTGTCTCTCGTAAGCGCGTACTACTTACGCGCGGGAGAAGAGAGAGAGAGAGAGAGTGAGAATTGCAACATGAAAACTACATTATACTATTCAAACGATTGCAGGCCGCGCCAGGCAAGTTGACATTGTTGTTTCTGAGGGTCGCCTGAGGGTTCTCCGGAATATCTTAAGCGTCGCAGGAGTATACGTACAGCTACGTGTAGTGATATATATATATACATATATTCTCGCGGAAGTGTGTATATTTATATGTATACATACGTGTGTATACGCGCAGCGTCACGTCGTCGTCGTCGTCGTCGTCGTCGTGGTACAAGCCCTCGGGGGGCTGTGAACGCTCCGCCGCAGTCTCCTCTCGTCTTCCTGCGGACCGTATATACTAATCAATAACCATGAATCGCTTCGGTAACAGTGCCATGCACGTTCCGTTGCACCGTTATTGTTACTATACGCGAGTGTTCGCGCCACCGTGAAAATTATTATCGCCAACGGATCCTAGGCCCGCTCGAGCCTACTCGCGATATCGTCGCTCCGGTGAGAAACTCGTAAATTATATATTATATTAACGTGTAAAATACACGCGCCCGCCTGCACGCTTCTCCGTGACGTCAAATGTGTTTGAAAATACGGTACGAACAGGGAAGAAGTCATCAATTGTATCAACCATCAGTCGGGTGAGGTTAAAAACGATCTCGCGCCCGCTCGCAGAGTTGAAGAAGAAACGGGTAGAAAATGAAAGAAAGAGAGAGAGAGAGAGAGAGAGAGAGAGAGAGAGAAAGAGCGAAATCCTGTTTTCGCAAGAAGCGCCGGCTGAATACGGCCGCTAAAATTAAAGATATAATTCTCGGTTTATGAGCCGGGTCGCGATTAAGGCTCGTCTAATTGACATAAGAATGATAGAACGACCCGGGCGCTTTTATAACCGAGCGCTGTACAGCGTGCGCGCACGCCAGAATCATTTCCTTACGAGGAAAGCGTAAAGCGCTTTTCACCACGGCTAATATTAATCCCTGCAATTTTAATGCTCACGACCCCGCAGCCAAATTTCAATAAGGCCGTTTCTCCCCTACAAACCCGTGGAGGCGCCCGGCTCGCATAATTGATATCTTCAGGTTTTTTTTTTTTTTTTATATCGTGACAAACTTTTCCAGTTAGTCTCGTCGCGCGCGCAAACACGACGTCGCTCTCGGACGCGACTAAGAGAGGCGCGTGACATCTGAAAAAGAGATACCGCGACGAGAAAGAAGAAGATTACGCTCGACTGTGCGATTAGCAGCTTTCAACGCTTTTAAGCAAAAGTTATAATCGACGAGAGAAGGAAAGAGAGAGCAAAAGTATAATTTTATTATTAAAATTGATTCGAGCTTCTTTCCTCGTGGAGTTAGGATCGGAGAACGATGATCAAAGAAACGGAAGAAGAAGGACGTTCGTCGAAGCATGGATTTTAAAAACGCGTTTCCGCGATCGAGAGAGAAAGGAGAGACGAGCGGAGCGAGCGGAATAATCGTTAAAGCATTTCGGAATCAAGTCGATCCGGAGCCCCGGGGTGGGATGCAAGGGCTGGTGTTTCGTCTCTCGACGACGATCTCTAATAAAGTTCAATTATCCCCGGAAACGTTTGAGAGAGCGACGGTGAGGTAGGTGGAGGACGGGAAGGACGAGCGCGCGGGATGTAGAAGATACGAGAGAAAAGGGAGAGAGAGGCGGGAGCATGGGGGAAAGGTATCAGAACCGTTGAGAGAAAGAGAAACCGGGAGAGATGATAATCTAAACGATCGCAAAGTGGGCTGCAGAAACGCGCCGAAATTGGCAATAACAGGGTGGCGAGGGGATAACGGAGGCTACAAGGGCGGGCGGGGGAAACAGCGTATATACCACGGGGCCCCGGCGCGAACTTCCTATTCTGGTTAGCATTCAAATTGAATCTTCGTGGCGGCCGGTCGTGAAGAGTTACCGCCGTTAATGGACCTCGCAAACGCTCTCAAATTGCTAACAGACTGCTGAGACGACGCGGTTCTGCCTAATCTACCGGCTTGATTCTCCGTTCAAGCTTCGTCTCTCTCGCTCTCTTTCTCTCGGGTCACCTCGTTTTCATGCCTGAAACGTATGTCGTCAAACTTTTTGGATTCATGACGGAAACTCCCCCCGTGGGTCGGAAAATAATTGCTGCTAATGCGACGGCGATGTGTATAAGAGCCGGCGAAAGAAAAAGTATTTTAAAAGCTTGCGAAACGCGCGTTAAACATGTTACATGCTGTTTCGAAATTTTATTAAACTCTCTCGAGACGAGATGAGACGACGAAAAACATTTGACATTGTATTTACGCGCTAATAAATAAAATTGTTAATCGATACTTTCTCTTTTTTTTTTTGTTTTAATATTTTTCAATTAATACGATGTAAAATATTTTGACGTTAATTTCAATGTCTCGTTAGTGAGAAACGTAAAAAAGTCTGCCGGTCCGTTCGGTAGCGAACTGACGTGCGTTACGAGCCGCATGGCTCATTGCCCGCCAATGTAATTCGAAAGGCGAATGAACTTGGAAGAGAGGAAAAAGACTCCTTCCCTTCCCGTTCGGTCGCGTCGCTTTTCTTCCGTTAAAACGAATTAACTTGCTTGATTTAGGGCCCGTTTTATCGCGTTATCGTCTCCGAAATAATTTGCCCCACGCTGCTGGAGGCAGCATCATTTTTTTTTCTCTCCACGAAATTTCTATAATTCAGAACATCAGCCTGAAAACTTGCTGACTTTTTTATTTTTACGTCTTCTGTTTCCGACATCAGTCGCATCAGTCGCGCCGCAAGAGTGTCTTTAAGTTGCATCGCGTTGTGTTCGCGCGTGCAAAGCACAGGGTTTCTTAATACCCGTTCAACGAGTTCCAGGATTCGTCCTAACGACCCTCAAGCAGAGATTCGAAATGGCTAATTTAGCGCGGTGACTCCCACGGGAACGAGGGAGTTGCGCAAGTCGTGGGCACAAGTCGGAGACAAAGAGGTACGCGGGAGGGAAACGCGAGAGAAACATGGACTAAGCGGATAGAGGCGCGGAGGAACGAAGAGAGAGCGAGAGAGAGAGAGAGAGACGGGATCTCCATGTCTTAATATAATTCTATTAGAGGTAACTATGCGCGCGCGGGCTCTGGGCCTGCCCATCGCCATTGGATTTAATCACGAACTCAGCCGACCGTGCGATATCTTCCCGCAGCGCCTTCTCGGACGTTGGCAGCAGAATGACGAGGAGGAGATGGGCGGTAAAGATTCTTATTGTCAAATTAACCGCGCGACTATAGCTGAAATGAATCTTCAGGTTCTGAAGCGTTTCTGGAAATTTTACGACCCCGAAGACACTTGGTGTCGTCTATCTCCGCGACAAGATTTCGGAGTGATGAGGCCATTTCTAGTAATTATTCATGGAAGGAGTAGACAACTCGGTCTCTCGCGCGCGTGAACTAGGCAACCAAACAATTAAAACTAACGATAGAGGAGGGAGCAAAGATCTGCAACAATGTTAATGACAAAGCTGCCCTTTGAACTCTGGAGAAAGAGAGAGAGTGTATGTGTGTGTGTGTGTGTGTGTGTAAGCGCGCGCGCGTGTGTGTATGTGTGCGCGCGTCTGATGTTAACTAAATTCCCATTATCTTGTGTGCGTTACAGCCGAGCTGAAAATGGACGTTCTTCGGGAGCGGGAGGTCAAGGACAGCCTGGAGCGGCAGCTCCAAGACGAGCAGAAGGTGCGAGGTGAGTACCGAGCGAGAGCTCGAACTGCGATTTTACCTCGTCGAAAGAATCACGGGAAGTCGAAGAGAAGGAGAAGGAGAAGGAGTGTGTCTTTACGAGGTACCGAATCCGCGAGAGACGTCAGAGTTCGGTCGGAGTTTACAGGTGGCATCTCTTAACGCATCTCCATTTTTTCCGTCCGTTTACAGCTTTCGCGTCAAAAATTGACTCCGGCCGAGACAAACACACGTTGCCGCGTTGTATCAGCCGGCGACGCACACACGGTAATCTCGCGCATCGAGCGCCTCAAGCGAGTTTTCGAAGCGAGGCTTAACTCGCCGATAAATCAAGAAGCCGTAGAGACACCGCGCTATAAAGGTCGCGTCCGTCCGTCCGTTCGTTCGTTCGTTCGTTCGTTCGTTCGTTCATCGATTCCCGTGAGTCGTATTATCCGAGGAATCTCCGCACTTTAACCCGCACCCTCCGTAACATTACATTTCGCCCTTAATCTCGCTCTTAACTCTCGACGTTTTTTTTGGCGTCTTCGCGTGTCTTTAACGGGGAGCGAGACGGCTTCGGGTCAAAGACCGCGATCGCCCGAACGAGAGCTCGTATTATCGGATGTCACATCGTAATCGCAATTTGAAACGGTTGCCGTTTGTGTGCTCATTGTCTGGTTCGTTCTCTCATAACCACGCAACTCGGTTTCACGCGACTATATTCTAGTGTTTTTCTCAAATTTTATCGTCTGACACAACTTTTTCTGCAATCTTCTGAGTTTTTATCTCGTGTGCTCTTATACACACACCCACACACACACACGTACGTGTCTTCGATAAAATTCCTGAGCGTCACCTGTCGAAACCAAAGGTGTTATCGCGCACGATAAAATATCGGATCGATAGGCGAGAAGGATACAACTCGCAAGTTACGCCGATTCGTGCGTTACGTATAGTCTGTCGTAAATAATAAATTTGCATAAATCGCAAGCATTAACGTAAGAAACAAATGCGCGATGAAATTACCTACTGCGTGCGTCAATTACGAGTTGATGTTAATCTACTGTATTTTTTGGTTGCCTTCTTTTTCGTGCATCGCGATTTGGTCTCGTTAAAAAAAACTCAAAATTCCTATTTCTAGTCAAAAAATTAGAATCGGATTCCCGATCCCTCCGTTCGCAGATGTAACACACAGCGAGGTTTTGACGCCCGACAATGTCGACGTCTCGTCTGACGTGACAACAATGCGAGGCTCGATAAATATGTATAAAAGTCAGAAAGAACGAGCCACACGCCCATTTCGCGGCTCTACACGAAACAAGACGCGAGCTGTTCTATTGAAAGAAAAAAATAACTGAAATAGTCTCTTCTCTCGGTGATGAACTAGAGGGATCGATGAAAAAAAATCGCCCAATTAAAACAAAACTACCGTGAATCGGTGAAACGCAATAAATTCCAGCGCGGCGAACGTATAATGAAATAAAATAAAAGCGAAATATTCGACACACGTGGGAAATTTTGTTATTTAAAATGACTCATGGTTCGCACGGAATTTTTTTTCGATAAACACGAGAGAACGGGAACGTACAGAGACTGCGAATGTGTTTCGGTCGATTCTCAGGAAAAGCGCGCGCGACGAGGCCAGGCCCTCGCGGTAACACGAGCCTGTGACAACAGCAGTCCATTAGTCAACCAGCTTGGTGTCAATACATGAATATGACAGCCAGTCTCACGGAATATCCTATCCGCCCTCTTTTTCTCGCTCCCTCTCTCTCTCTCTTTCTTTCTTTCTCTCGTCTCATCGTCTTTCCCCTGCTGTGTCGTCCTTCCGACCGTAACGTCAAGCGAAACCATTATTCGCCCTATGATATCGCAAATATAGTAAATAGTCCGGCCCCCGTATTGTGCGTCCTATCAATATCTTTATCCGTTCTAGCAATGTACGGGCGCCGTTTTGCGCGCGTGTCTCGCACGACGTTATCGTTTACACGGCGACGTCGAGACGTCCCGTGTGTATTTTGTATTCGCGAGCACCTGTACATATATTTTTAATACTTTTCAAGTAAAATCTTGTCGGAAAATAACACTCCAAGGAGAATATATCTTTCATTTATTTACATGCCGACGGCACGCATGCGTGTGATATCGAGATAATGGATTAACTTTCCACGTCGAGAAGACAGGAAGATATTGTTTCGTAAAAAAAAAAAACAAAAATAATAGTTTATTACGAAGGGTTTTCTCTCTCTCTCTCTCTCTCTCTCCCTTCGGTATAATTTCGTCTCCTTCTTTCTGACACGTCGTCGTAGCCGCGCGAGATGCAATAAGGCGATACGTAATTTCGTGCATAGCACGGGCGCGCGCGCACGACTCGCAGGATTCTAACATGATTGATGACCAGCCAGTCCCACGGATATTTACGCAGGCACTTCGTAAGACTTCCTCCTCTCATTCGACTAATGACTGCCTTGTAAGAGATACCGTGTCAACCTTTACCGTACGGCCGGTCGGCGACATCAACTACTACTACTACTACTACGATGACAACGACAACTCCAAGGTGCTTTAACGAGGGCATATCCGTCAACAGTTTTTCCGATCGAGTACTTTGCTGCACACCCCTTTTTCCCGCGGAACAACGTGTGCGATGCACACGTGCGCGAAACCTTTCCTTGCCAAGCCATCCATCCGGCTTAGGAGTTTAAAATATCAAGAAAATAGCCCACGCGTTTATTTGTGATTGGTTGGATATGCAATCGCCCCAATAAGGAAAGAATGTGCGCAAACGTGTAAAACGTGACGGTGTGTGTACGAGCACGCTAATTAAAATCCGATGTGACATCCGACGATATTAATGTTGTTTCGCGAAAGTAGAATTTTCGTCATTACGACGCGCTATATTACGTTGAAAGGAAGGGAAGGACGAGTGTCGGCGACATTGAAGGAAGGTTCACTTTATACGTAATTCTACGGGCAATTTGTGCGACAGAATCGAAATCGTACGCGCGCGATATAGTACGACGGCCGCGTGACGGCGAGGGGGGAAGAGAGAGAGAGAGAGAGAGAGAGAGAGAGAGAGAGAGAGAGAGAGAGAGAGAGCAACGTTATTAGCCCGTTTAAAGCCCCCGCTTGGCATTTCGGTAAAGGTTGAAATCTTCGACCTCCCGTCGGGTGGGTGGTCGTATTATCTTAGCAGGGGTTGCGCCGGAGAAATCCGGCTTCCTTCCTCGATGGGTATCATGACAGTAAGGGGAGGGGGAAGAGTTTGCCGGCGCGCTGGATGCGCGACTTTGTCGACGGCGGAACAATAAGATGACCTTTCGCAGCTCTGGTGAATGCAACAAAGCGCCACGTAATTCTGACCGTAATAATAATACGCGAAAGTGCAACGACCTTCGGGTTCGCTGACGAACTTGCGAGCATTTTCCCCCCTCTCTCATTCCCCACTCGATTGTTTTCTCGAGCGCAATTTTGCGATTACACTAATGGATCTAACAATTACACGAGCGCAAACAATTGTTATGATTTTTCTACGACTAACTGAGATTTATTTATAGTGTGTGCGAAAACACGTTGTCGGTGTATACGTAAAATAACGCGAACTAAATTGTTCCGTTTCTGATCTTCGTGCGTCAGCAATGAACGACGACGACGAGATGCAGGAACGGAAAAATATGGCGTCATAGTTTTTTTTTTGAATACTTTTTTCTTCTCGTTCGTAACCGAACTGCGAACACCATATCGACACTCGTAAGGCGGACGATTTCTCACGTTTCTTCTGGCGCTTCTTACGCAAATGCGGAAGATCGTATTTATACTTGAAATCTTTATTGGACTCTTTCTCTCTCCCTCTCTCTTTCTCTCAAACTAAGTACGCGCGATACTTAACCGGCCGCGCTAAATATTAGTATTAAAACGATACGCGCGAACGACGAAAGAACAACAAACACGGCCGGGAAGAAGCGCGGCTACGTACGGCTTCTGGATTTGATCCATTGGCGGATATTCTGGCCGGACGATGTCTCGTTTTGTATCGCAGCTCTCTCTCCCAACGAATGAACGGACGACGGCATTTTCACGCAAAAGCAAAAAGCTCCCGACGCGCGCGTAAACCTTCGGAACCGCGAAAGCCTGGGAACCGACAGCTGCCTTTGCCGTCGGTTTACACGAAGCTGCGGCCTCCCTTGTAATTAGCCGAGCCGTTTGTCGCGAGACCTGTCGAGAGAGGAACACCCTCCCTCCCCTTTTCAAACCCACCCACATCCCTCTCATCTCACCCCTTCCCGTGGATGCCTCAATCTGCGCGTCGTAACCGCCTCGTAAGTTGCGCGCCGTGAGATTTTCCGAGAGAAGAAAAAGAAAAAACACTCTCTCTCTCTCTCTGCTTTCTGATCGTTCTTCTTTCTTTCGATCGATCACGTCGTGTTGTACTCTGGAAATCATATTTACCGGCACGCTCTCTTTGACGCTTCGCGAATAAACGAGATACGGAAACTTTTTCTTCTCGGGATTCGTAAACGCGAATTTCGAAAGAAATTTCAACACGCGGACTGTAAAACTGTGCCGCGTATTGTCGTTTATTGTCGGTGGAAAGAAATACACGATACATATATATATATATATAGACGGTAGTTGTCTCTAATGACAAACATTACGTTCAATCGTATCCGGTTACGGTTATAGGACACGCTCAATCGAGCGAGAGCCGCGTCGAGCGCGCGCGCGCGCGACCCTAATGCGGAATTAATCTCTTCGGTGAAAAAGCAACTGTAACGACGTGCCGACGCGCGTTATCTCCCGCGTCGTCGCGTCGGGGGTGGCGGCAACAACCGTCGGGCGACAAACGGAATTGAAACTGCACAATCAACTCGCCGAGATTTATATACGACTCTCCCCTCGAATTAGCCGGGCCGTAATGCCGGGATCGGGTGTCGGTGTAATTGGGACCCGAGGGACTTTCCCGCATTTCAACCCCTGCTTCGGCCGTCGCCGCCCACGCCCGGTATCGTCGTCACACCATCC